TTACTTGCTATAGAGGTGAAACTGTTTCATGGTTGGATTGTCTTGACTCAAGGACTTTCATTGTCAGCAATAGGATTGAATATGCTTTGATTTTGGATCTTTTCATCTGGGTGGAATAGGGGCTGTTGTGGTGAAAATTCAAAACACACACAAGGGTTAAAAAAAAAAAAAAAAAAAAAAAAAGATTCCCTGCACCTGCGTGGTTGAGCAGGAAGTGTCCAGAAACATATCCATGGCACAAGCACTTGCACGTGTATTGTTGTATCTGACATCATTTCTTGCACTGTATACATCATTTCTCAAACCAATCGGTGTATCACTGTATGTTCATTTTTTCTCAGATATGCACGTCACTTTTTTTTTATAAATAAATACAACTGTCTTCTCCTCATACAGGGGACAGTTGTATTTTTTGTCCCACTCTATCTTCTTCTCTCTTACCTCACTCTAGCTACCTTGTATCTATACCTCACCCGCAAGTCCCTATCTACCTTACAATGTATTTAGCAAGCAACAACTACCGGATGTAGGACTATGGCTTCCCTCAGTCTTAAATACACTGGGTAAGCCTAAGTTATCCTAAAGTTATGGGTCTATGCCTACCTACCTAACTCTTCTCTGTGAGGGGGAGCAGTACCCAAGCTTCTAACACCTGGTGCGGAAAGAGCTACTTCCTCAACCAGTCAGGAGACCCAAGCCAACAATCGTCGCTGGTGAACCCGAAGCATACTCCCGGGAGGTCGCGGGAATCGAAAGGACGACGTTGGGTATCGAACCCACGACCTCCTGAGTGCCACTTACGTGCTCAACCAGCTGAGATCGCCCGCTTGGGCCTGCACATAACCTTTTTCTTTGGGGTTGAGGGGGAAAGGCGAGTGAGGGAACTTGTCTGTCTGCACTAGAACACTGGAAATTCCTCCTGGGGGGGGAAGAGGGGAAGAAGGCTGTTGGAGTCACTTTACACCAGTTTATGGAGCATTCTCTCGTGGGAACAGTGTGCCGGTTCATGGAGCATTCTCTCTTGGGAACAGGGCATCGGTTAATGGAGCATTCTCTCTTGGGAACAGTGCTGCCATCTCTCTTGGTTACGTACTGTGCTGGGACAGATTAGTCCCAAGGCGATGGATTGGTATTGTACCCTTCAAGCATTGCCAACTTTTGCAGAAGGCACAGTGAAAATGCCACTATCATGACTGCTTTAGTTGGCTGTTGACATTTTGTGACCCCTGGGCTGGCGTGGTTTACACCACAGGTCTTGGCACAGGCAACGGGTTCATTTCGAAGAGGCAAGGCTTCGTGTGGGGACATCGACTTCGTCATCTCTCATCCTGACGGTAACAGGTGTTCACCATTAACCAATCTACACGTGCCTCCCTGCATTCTCCATTTCTCCCATTCGTCCACTGTCTGGTAACCCTTCTCTCTCTCTCTC